TGGCTTGCCGTGAATCCCGGGTCGAAGCCTGTATGTGAATCCTGTAGAATCCCGTAGAATGGCTTCGACTCGTAGGTGACGGTATACACCTTACACTCTCCCCTCCTTCGAAGTAGAGTCCGGGCGGAGAGTCTGTAATGCCGACCGTATCACATGCTCAATGCACTAGGTACACTTCTCACCGTATTGATATGTGCTGCTGCTACCATTGCTCATAGCGCAACACAATCGTTCGCGCATACTGGCAGGATACTTGGTTCTTCCCCTGCCGAGTTATGCCTCTACTCGACGTATTTACATGGCCCATTATTCGACCAGTTTTAGCTGGTCGATATGGCACACATGCTCTTTGTCATTAGCGTCCGCTAGAACAGCGTTCAAGGATGACGTCATTCGCAGCACCGTATAGGGACCCTGGAACCGAGGGGCTAGTTTCGCACTAAAGTTCTTTCGTGCATCTGACAACGGGTGTGTCTTTAACATAACTCTGGCTCCTGGAGAGATTCCGCGATTGCGAAGGCTTCTTCCCTAAAGCTTTAACCAGAGAAGAGTTGATCAGAGAAACCCTAGCCCCAGTGTCTATCTCAGCTGTTACGAATGTCTCACCCATTACAATCGCAATAGAGGGTTCTGGTGAATGCCCCTGCTCAAACTCAGCCGGCATCCGCGACGGAGCCTGCACGAACCTAACTGACTTGGCCGGCGTAGGCTGCGTACGCACCCTAGCCCTTTCAAATGACGGGCAATCCTTCTGTAAGTGACCCGGCATATTACATCGATAACATATGACATTGTAGCCTTGCCTAGCACCCGTCCTAGCGCTGCTAAACGCAGGTCTGTCTCGAGTCGAGTCGGGTCGGGTCTGCAGAGGGGCGGGACTCCTACCTCCACTAACCAAGCTACCCTGAACAGACGTGGAATTATCACTGCGATATCTGCGATCCTCGCGTCTAACTGTCATAAAGTTATCTGCAATCTGTCCAGCATGAGCCACAGAACCCACTTCGGTCTGTCGTAAGTAGTGTCGGAGATCATCATTCCGTATGGTAGAAATGAACTGATCAATCAGTACCGTCTCTAAAACCCCGTAAAACTGCGCATGTCGCAACAACTCCTGAGGCGGTTTAAGCCACCTATGAAAATAGGTTTGCAAACGCCCCGCAAATTCCTGAAAAGTCATCTAATAATTTTTTTGCTGTCTTAAAATTGACTCTATACGTCTCTGAAGTCAGATTATACGATGCGAGCATAGCCGCTGTCACTAGCTCGAAGTCCTGTCTGACATCATCTGCTAAACGAAATAAGCATTTCTGGGCTCGCCCCGATAGAAATGGCTCTAGAATAGCCGTCCACCGATCTCTAGGTTTGCTCTGCGCAATACATCTAGTCTCTCAAATGTCTGTAAGTAACAGTCAATGTCATCCTCCTGTGTCAGCTTATGCATGCCCACTAACTTATACACTGACGAACCCGACTCTCTATGCCCAGCGTCCGCTACCGCACCTCGATCTGCAAGTAACTCCGTCAGAAGTTGATGTTGTTGTTGCTGCATGAACCCCATCATGGCCTGCATCTCCGGTGAAAGAGCAACTGCCCCCCCTACCTGCTCCTCATCCGAGGATTCCTTCGCAACCCTCTTAGGAGGCATTTTGTGTGTGTATAAATCAGTACTCACATAAACGGCTGATGCAACCTGACTTGCTCTCCGCAAAATCAAGTCACAACCAAAAGTTGGCTTACCTCACCGTTATGTTATGTACGTCTCGTGTTCAAATAAGAAAAAGAAAAAAAATGTAACCCCTTCCTGGTTTTATATCAACAAAATCCTATAGCGGGCAGAGACCCCCAAAATGCGCAACCATGCAAGCAATCAATACCCTGAATGCAATGTCAATGACACGGAATACGCGAAAATAAACGCTCAAAACATGCCAAAACCAACGAAATACACGATTCATAATACTACTGTAACATGTCTTACTGCGCCACCTACTGAACAACTATAGCACCTATCTCCCTATCACCCGTTAGTACAGTTGAAAGCTAATTCGCTACCACAAGCGACTGACTGCAAAAAAACAACAACCCTCAAACACGACAGAGGTGTTGAGTAAGTGAATACACGAGTCTGAGCGACAAACACGCGGGCTTGACCCTCAGCTGACAGACCTACTGTACATTCACAGCAGTCTCCCTAACGACATGCGCGATGCAAGTCGAAAGAACTATGCAGTCTACCATTGTACGCTACGTGCGCCTTACAATACGTCTCTTAGCTTATCAACGAACACGATACCCATACTGGAGAAGGTACTTAGCTTGATGTACAGCTTGTTGTCCAGGGCCTCCACTCTACGTACGCGACGAACCAGTTCACATCACTACTATCCTGTCGACTGCGCCAAAATGTAAGGGTTTATCCTTACACGGTTCTCCTGGTCGTCTGGTAGAATGAAGCACCCCGAGTCGATCCCAGGCGGTCCTTATATACGCTGGCAGCCGTGGCCTTGCCTGGCTCGCCGTGAATCCCGGGTCGAAGCCTGTATGTGAATCCTGTAGAATCCCGTAGAATGGCTTCGACTCGTAGGTGACGGTATACACCTTACAAAACTGCTCCTCCCCTCCTTCGAAAGTAAACCTGGCTGTACTGCAGCCCGAGTGGCAGCAAGGATAGTTTTTTAAAGAATAATGTAGGGTAAATCAGTTGAGAGTAGTGGGATTCTAACCGACACCTCCGAAGATCACCCGTATGCCATATTCAGATTTTTCCTTAAGCGTTTAAAAATGGTCAATGCAGTTGCCTGTATGTTTTGTGATAGTTGTAAAATGTCAAAATATGTGGCAGCGGTGGGATTCGAACCCACGCCTCCGAAGAGACTGGTGCCTTAAACCAGCGCCTTAGACCGCTCGGCCACGCTACCAACTTGTGTATTCGGTACAAAATATACTTATTGAATATTATCTCATTAATATAAAAGTTGTATACATGATGAAATGTTTTTGATTTACTCATGACAACAAATTTTAAGCTATTACAGACAATTTAACATCTTGTGCATAATAATTTATTTATAGATTTTTCGAAACATGCATTGCCACTAGATGGCAGAGTGAGCGGTCCGACAGAAGAAGTAGATTTCTGTTTGTTTGCGTGGAGTACTGAGTAGGCCTATTTATTCACGTACAATTAAATATCTAAGTGGATAATTTTAATTACTACTACTAGGTAAGTTATATCGCAGGTTCCGGCAGAATCCTA